TCAATCTGAGACATTCCCCACAGTCCATAAAGAATATTGTTTTCTTTCTTGTTTTCCCACCGTGTGGAGGTAATCGCAATTGATCAAAGGATGCGTTGAAACATAGGGTGTAACCATGATATTAGCTTGTTGTAGGTAGGGGAGAGTGGGGTTATGACGAACAGCTAAGCGGGAGTGCAAATTAAAGACAATTATTACTATATATTAATGATATTTTTTGCTTATTATTTAGTCTAACCATTTGGTTAGAATCACTCAAAAGCAATTTTCATATATCTTATTAAAAAATAAAAAATTCGATTAAAAACAAAAACGGTTTGTTCGGAATTACCCTACGTACGTGGGGTAATTCCGAACAAACCGTGGGGTAATCGCGAACATTATTGGCTAACAGCGAATAAAATGTTGATCAAAGCAAATCAAACTTGATTGAAGCGTTAAAATATTATTGAATAAAATTTTAATTAAATCAAACGTTAAAGAAACAAATATCAATAAATTTTATTCAAACCAAATAAAATTTTACATGAATGAAATAAAATTTTACATGAATGTAAGGTGACCTGGATACTTTCTGATACTATAGTATCAGAAAGTATGTGTGTGTATTTTTATCTTCTGTATACAGAAGGTAAATGTACGAATTGAATACAAAATTACATAAGTATTTTTTACTAATTTATTAGTGTTCTGTTCTTTATACGCATTTGAGAGCATATATATATATATATATATATATATATATATATATATATATATATATATATATATATATATATATATATATATATATATATATATATATATATATATATATATATATATATATATATATATAGATATGTATATATATATATATATATAGATATGTTATATATATATATATATACATTTTACAATAATAAACTAAATAAATAATGTATAATAACTTTATTTAAGAATCATCCGTGTGTTATCATATACGCTAGAATACTTTGAAGACAATAAGTGTTCGCGATTACCCCACTAAGATCGTTCGTTATTTCCCCGCGATACAACCAAATGAAATTAAACGAATATATTGAGGTAGTATTATCATACCCTAAATATAATACGTGTTACAAACTCCATGATTATGATACTTTGCAACAACATAAATAAAAGTGTGGTTTTATAAACATAGTATAGCCAATACATAAATGTTTCGCAAATAAAAATTACATAAAACTAAGAGAAAAACTTAAAATCAATCCACCGTGAAGAACCTGCGCATTTATAATACACTATTGCACGTCTGGAACTGAGCATGGAACACATTCTTGTCAGAAAAAAAAAGATTGTCAGCTATCCTTTTCTAACATGCCGTAACGACCTTGTTCGGAGTTACCCCGCGTTCGCCATTACCCGACTCTCCCCTAATCTGAAAATAAAAATTAAACATAAAAAAGTTTATGCAATGCAAAATAATTTTATGTTTGAAGATATATTATTTTAAGAAAATACAAATTTTTTCCATATATGAAACGATTCATTTGAGTCTTTATTTATTTAGTATATAAATCGTGTTGTATATACTAAATAAACAAAGATGTATGGAATACGATGAGGATATTTAATATACTGTTTTATATGTCACATACACATATAATATATACATACATAAATAAAAAATATATACACACATAGTATATGTGTATCACGGATTATACAACCGATTCTGTTGTATATTTGACATATACAATAGTGTATATATATATAACCATATATATTATGTGATATATATACACTGTATGTCACATATACAACAGAATCCATGAGCTTTTAATTAGATTATGATACATTTTTTACTAAAATAATATGTAGAATTATGAATAATAACTAAGAATAGCCGATTGACACTAGAATATATAGGAAAATACCTATATTTTTGTTTATTACTCTAAGATATACACTATTTTCATCCGCCATTTAAAAGTTAAATTGGAGGAAATAAACTGATTACTTAATGTGATTTATTCGTCATTTTATTAGTTAATGGAAATATAACAAAATAACATTAAAAACTGTTGATATTTTGTGAAGGTAGCTGTTTATTGCAATTGTGCAAGAAACAGCTACCTTGGCCCCAAAAGTCAAAATGAATTAATTGATATCATTGGAAAGAAATGTATACAAGAGCGGCTAATTAATAAAATCAAAGCTGCAAATTACCATTCAATTTCAGCAGACGAGGTAACAATTGCAAACCAACAAATTCCATTAGTATGTATGAGATACGTAAACGGAGAAAAAGAAATTAGAGAAGTACTTCTTGACTTTCTGAATCTTAACAAGATAATAGGCAAACATATTGGGGAAAGCTTGATGAAATTTTATATCGAAAGTAGAATCGATCTTAGTTATTGTAGAGGCAAGTGTTACGATGGCACACCAAACATGCAATCTGTAAAAAAAGCTGTTGCCAGCTATATTTTAAAAGGATCACCAAAAGCAATTGTAACTCATTGTAGCTCACATAGTTTTATCAATTATAATAATTTCATAAATTATCAATTGCTGCAACATCAAAAATACCAATCATTGACAATATTTTAGAGGTATACAGAAATATATCCATTTATTTTAATACCTCTCCGAAAAGAGACCGCTTGCTGGAGCATGTTGCAGAGATCTGTTGTAAATCAACTGAAAGAAAAAAGATTTTGATAATTGGTATTATAACTTTGTATCGCTTACTTCACCCGTTGTCGTATATAACAGAGAGATTACAAGGGCGCACAACTGATATTTTGTATGCATACAGTAACATTCAAGAAACAATCAACGATTAGAACCATCTACGAAAAAATGTTGAAAAAGAAACTTACGTAATTTACCAACAAGCTACTCGTATGGCAAGTAAATTATTTGTAGAACCAACGATTGCCAGAATCAAAATGAGACAAGCCTACAGAAAAAACATACCTGCAGAGAGTCCCCATGAATAATATAAACGGGCTTTGATTATACTTTTTCCCGACACCATCATTTCAGAAATCAAAATACGATTCCAAAAGACAAGTTGCATTGGTGCTAAAGTTTTATGCTTGGTTCCCTCGATCATTTGCAGTGAGGAGATAACTTTCCAGGAGTTAGTTGAATTGAATAGTTAGTTGAATTGAGTTAGTTGCTTTCCAGGAGTTAGTTGAATGTATAAAAGATTCAGAAGCTGTAGATTAAGTACTCATGTTTTGGAAATCAAAATGGTCTGTTATTAAACCTGAAGATAGGCCTAATACTCTAGCTAAAGTCATTAAAATCTGCGATGAAAATTAATATCCTAATCTTTTTGAGCTTCTAAAGATCGAATGTACACTACCCGTGACGTCCGCAGAATGTGAACGCAGCTTTTCAGCAATGCGAAAATTAAAAACATGGTTGAGAGCCAGTATGACTGCAGATAGACTTGGTTTATTAGCTATTATGAATATCCACTACAATGGAATTGTTGATTATAAACAAGTCTCAAAATTATTTTTTACTTTACATCCTAGAAAATTGTAGGAAAAAAGTTTAATTTTGAATAAAAATTTAAACCATTTATCAAAGTATTATTAATTTTTGTATCGATATCCATTTTCTAACAAGGAGCTTGCCTATACGCCTATGCAGTATAAAAATAGAAAAAATATTCGGAGAACAATAAATTCGTTTATGTAAACATTGTTTACACAAATATAGCTATGTTTCGCAAAAATTTTATTAAGTAAATTTATTATGATATTTGTTTGGTGTTTTAAAACTGCCCTTTTTTTTCAAAAACGACCCCCCCCCCCTCTTCCCTAAAAAATTCACGTTACAGCCCTGTATATATATATATATATATATATATATATATATATATATATATATATATATATATATATATATATATATATATATATATATATATATATATATATATATATATATATATATCCTCCTATATATATATATATATATATATAGGAGGATATATGATATAGAGGATATATATATAAAGTGACCAGGCGTACTCTTTTTCCGTAGGAGAGTTTGCTAAACTACAGGACAGTCAATCATACTAGAATTTAATCACGGCGGCAAACGTTAAAATTAAGAACTAAATGTAATTTACAAATAGAAAAAAAAACATATTTTAGCGCGCGCTCTTTCGTTAAAAAGTACAGCCTGGTCACTTTAATATATAGGAGGACCTGACACATTGGAGTGACACCAAAAGGAAACAAATCCAAATATGACAGAACTGCTCATGCTTGTGTTAATTTATTTTTGCGTTTGGTCTAACCAACAGTTTTTAAGGTTTTGATTTTTCGATATTTTTTATTAATAACTCTGCTATTTCTTCATTCACACAAATCTTTATAAACAAAAACCTTTCGTCTTTTATTCAAAATCAAAAGGTTCTATATTTTGTATGCTCAACTTTTATTAAAGGACTTTTTTTTTCAGAAATTCGAAACCCGTGTTGTCGGCCCTGTTAGTGAAAGTCTAGAGGGATAACACCAAAAGTTTACCGCCCTGGGTGACACTAACCCCAGCGACGCCACTGCGTAGTTATATGTATTATAGCCTGCCCCCCCTCTTCCCCACTTTTTGTTTTTGTTGCGCCTTTGATCGAATGTATTTATAAACAATTTGAAAATATTTAGAAAAATTTGTTTTTTAAATTTGTTATAGAAAATTATTTGCAAATTAAACTAAAAATAAAAATGCCGCAAATATAAGTAAACGCGCCGATTCTGCTTACTATATTCTGCTTTTCTTTTTTAAAAAAAAAAGAACTCTTTGTATTGAAGTCGAATAATCAATGAGAACGCTTTTTCTATTTTTTAAACTAAACAGCCTGGTTTTTATCTTAGGTGTTAAAACGTTGCATTAAATTAACTTTTTATTAATAGATGAAATTGTTATTTTATCAACAATTTTATTTTATTAATTTATTTAAATATTTAAAAATATATATTAAATTCGTTTTTATTAATTTTTTTTTTTTCTACTAGTTATTGATTGCTGATAGAAGCCAGTAACTTTTTCGCTTTAACAACCCTGAACCTTTAAAACAGTATTGAATTGTTTTTTTTTAAACTATTATGTATTTTCTTTTTATGTTTCTTTGTTATATAGTTTTTTTTTTTTGTTTTTTTTCAAGTCGCTTTTAAGCTTAAAAAAAATATTTTAAGAATTGTATTCGCATTATTTAAAGTAATTTTAAAACAATTTAAATGTTATTTTATGCATTTCTTAGATTAAAAGGAGGTTTGTCATGATTGTACTTGGCCATGATTGTACGGGTTTTGAAGTGGATGGGCACAATAGTCAATTTCTAAAAAAAGTCCTCTATATCTAAATTTCAAAAAAAGAAAAAAAGGTTCTTTAGAAAAAAGTGAGGGGGCTAATCCCCCCTTTCTTCCCCCGGTGTTGTTGGCCCTGTTACATACCAATGTTTTCGATGATTTACTTCAGTGGTATGTCTATAATTGTCTAATGGGAAAGAAAAGTTTCTGTACCGATATTGCTTGTTAGGCTAAAGTCGGCTTTGAACCTTGGACCTCTGGGTTCTTAGCCAAAACTCTAGTCACTGCGCCACGACTGTTAAAAAGGAACTCGAACCTCTCGCTTATGAATCGAGCGCTCTACCACTACTACTGTTAAGAACATATTTTTTGCTAGCCTTGCGACTACCGTTTCTAGTACATTTTTATTAGGTACAACTTCAACTTCTAGTGATTTTGGGAGTACTTTTATTTATTGCTGATCCTGTTTTTTACTTCTACTAATTCTTCTTTTGTTGGCTCTGCATCTATCTGTTACTTCGGCTTGAAGTAACAGTAGATGCAAACTTTGTTTACCGTTTCTAATTTTCTTTAACTTTTCACGTCACATAAAAATTTGACAAATTTCCTATTTGAAGGCCATATTTTATTTTATACAATAAAAAACATTTTTAAATAATAAGGAACCTTTCGTGATTACGTGAAAAATTACGTGAAAATAGGAAATGGTGCTACCAATTCGTTGAGTAATTTAACTTATATAGAAATGTTTTAAATACATGATTTTATGTTATCATATTTATAATATATAAACAATTTGTATCCTATCCTTAAATGCACAGATTTCTCATATAAACGTTTGAATCTCCGGTTCTTAAAAGTTTATTACCCTTTTTACTTGAAATGAGTTATGTGAGCAATACAGCTACGAATACAGGATATTGACACCTTTAAGTAAAAATTTATGGAATTTATATAATATATATATATATACATATATATATATATATATATATATATATATATATATATATATATATATATGTATATATATATATATATATATATATATATATATATATATATATATATATATATATTTAAAAGTTTTGTCGCAAGATACTGGAGAATTTTGTTGTTGTTGTTGTTTCCTATTATTATTATTATTATTTTGCTAATTTGAATTTTTATTATTAGTCATAACAAAAAAATGTTTAAGGTCGATAGGCTGTACGATATCAATCTTTGTTCTTAAAAATATTGATATCATGGGAATAATAAATTGTTTAATATATCAAATTCTTTTAAAAAATCTCTTGGGAGATTTAAAATTTAAAAGAAATTTAATTTACGCTAATTTTAGATTTTCCTTAATCGACTTTAAATGTTTGTTAATTTTTATTCTTTAGGAAATCTCGCCTCCACCTGTTCCGCCTCGAGCTAAATTGCCAGACGTTTCATAACAATTAGGAAGTTTTTATATATTTATTTAGTCGTCTATAGTTAACATTTAACATTTGTAAATAAATTAGATGACGTAGGATTTAATTATTTTGTGGTGACTCTAAGACTGATTCTTGTCTGAGAATTTTTGTAATGTTGACTCTTTTCTTGTACTATATTTTTTACTTTTTTCTTGTACTATATTTGGTACTTTTGATTTATTTTTATAATTTTTCTATATATATAATGGAATTAAATAGATTTTTTACAACGTTTAATAAAATAAAGCCAAATTTGTTATCGTTTTTTTTTTTTTTTTTTTTTTTTTTTCTTGCGTGTGTGTTTTTTTGGAGTCTTATGATACCTGAAAAAAAAAATCCAAACTTGAAAAGAAATTGGGAATTTTATTTCAGATTCAATAAGCGAAATTGCTGACAAGTCTGTCAACTCTCTTATAAGTCAATTTGTTATAAAATAAAAACTTACATTTGTAATTGTGATTATATTTATATACCGGTATAAGGTCAATATATTTAAATTATATGTTTTTAAATTTGATAACAGGCAAGTTTAGATGCGTAATTTAATACAAAAAAATATATTTTGTGTGGAAACCTCAATAACGTCAGGGTTTTTTTCCTAATAATTGTTTGAAATTTAAAAACAAGCTTAAATAAATTATACATGATTTTTTATCTGTTTTCAATTCCTTGGAGATCCAGCTATATATACTTTTTAAAATTATTACTTTTCCCTTAGAGATCTAACTAGATATACTTCTTAAAATCATTAAGAAGTATATCTAGTTAGTATATCAAAAAAAAAGAAGTACTGATTTATTTTTTTTGATATAATGGTATCAAACCGTGATTCCAAAATTGTGTGCGGTTGTTACAACCTAATTGTTAATATGCGTACGTGTAGAAGGACAAAATTACCCTTCAAAAAAATTTTATTTAATCCCAAATAAGTTTTTTCTCTTATTTAACGGTAGAAAAGAAATTTCGTAAAAAATATAAGTTAATGTTTCGTAAAAAATATAAGTTAAATTTTCTATTAAAAAAAAAAAAATTTTTTTTATAGAAAAGTGTCAAGATTTATTTAGTCATAGCGCGTTAAGCAATAGTTATTCATATTCACGTGATTTTAAATCTTGAGCGTGTCAATTTTTTTGAAAGCGTGCAAAAAAGAAACTCGGTAAGCAACTTTTTGGTTTGGTAAGTTGTGATTGGACGATACCGTGGGAAAAATCTTTTGGCTAAAACACGTCGGCAAAAAGAAAAAGAAATTTTTCCGTGCCAAATGATTTTGGTCCGTCAAAATTTATATAAAAGACGCGAAGTTAGCTTTTAAGTAATCATTTTATAGTTTGTTCATATAGCGTGTTTATGTTTTTTGTTTTCGTGACAACACACAATTTAAATTAAACGTTATGTCGTCGTTAATGTCATCTCAAGGCCCGTTGAAGGTAAAATTGTTATTTCCCACTTATCGATACGCATTATCGATATGATTTATTTATATACACATCTTTAAAAATTTCAACATTTAAGTTTCTAGCAATTTATGTTACTGTTTATAAAGTAAATAATTACAAATAAATTAAGTTAGAACACCGAAGGATGTTTAAATTAATCATTGGTTAGGTAACAAGAGTGTATAACACATAATTATCTAAATTGTTTATGCTTCACTAAATATATTTGTATATATTATTTGATAAATGAAACAAATATTCTGTATGAATTATACAATCATTATATTATGTAAATGTAAATATTAATTTAGTATAACTATAAAGAATAACTAAATATTCTATTATGTAAATATTAATTATTGTTATATTTGATATATCGACTAACGAGTTAAACGTGAGTACTTAAGACTGATTCGAGCGTGCATAATTCATTTACGATCATGAATTGAAACGCTTGAAGTAAACTTGTAAAGATATATTGAATTATTTAGTGGTCATAAATATAGTTTTTAACTAGCTATTAGAGACGTTAAGTGTGAACATCACCAGCGCTATGTAAAAGTAGCATACTATATATTCTCTTATTAAACTAAAGTGTGGCTCTTTCAAAAACCGTCGTTATTTTTTAAAATTAAGAAAATTAAAAACACTAAACTACACTTTTATTGTTTAAAATTTTCCTATATGTGAACAGACCTTATATTTAGGCCCTTTTTTTAAATGCGTCATTAAAATTATTTTATCAAAATCTTTAATCTACTCTTTCATAATAATGTTTTATATATTAATAAATAATTACTTTACGTAATATAAAACTTAAAAGAAGATTTGAACTGTTCTATATATATATATATATATATATATATATATATATATATATATATATATATATATATATATATATATATATATATATACATATATATATATATATATATATATAATATATATATATATATATATATATATGTTTCATATTTTTCATGAATCTTATTAACTGATTGTTGTGAACTACTTTTAAAGGCCATTCATATTCAAGTTCCAATTGGAATTCCAACTCCAGATGGCGGATTAGAAATTCCTAATCGTGTTTTCTTGGGAGGCATACCCACCGAGGTACAATTTGTGTTTTCTTTTATTAGTATTTTTTATTAGTATATTCTCATCTCACTTAATCATCAAATAATGTTTTCTTTTATTAGCATATTCTCATCTCACTTAATCATCAAATATCAATGTTATTTCTACTTTTCTGTTTTAAATTTAGCGCTAGTTTACATCTCTACCCCCTTATTTTATTACTGATTACGATAGAGAAATTTGTGCTAATCAAAATTCATAGCAAAACATAAGTTTGAAACCAAAGGAAAGTTTTCTAATTTAATGTGACCAGACGTACTCTTTTTCCTTATAGTTTGCTAAACTACGGAACAGTATAGATACTAGAATTTAATCACGGCGGCAAACATTAAAATTAAGAATTAAATGAAATTTACAACTAGAAGCAAAAACATATTTTCTAATTAAAATTTGAAAAAATTACACTATAAAACACTAACATTCGCGATTTTTTAAAAACGTTTTATACTAAAAAATCGATCGTTTAGAAAATCTTTTTTAATTACGCGTCCCGGTTTTTATTGTCGTAAACATAAAATTTTATATGAAACAAATTCAATGTTTTTATGTTGTATCTTATCTAATTAATTTTTTTTTACTTCTTTTAAGATGTTGATTTTTAGATGTACAAACGTTAAGTGTTTACCACTCAAAAAATTGTATTGTTATTTTTTCCATCACCAAAAACAATTTACAAAAAAAAAAAGTGTATATTAAGTTAAATTTATAATGTAATCGAAAAAACTTCGAACAAAAGTTAGAAAACTAAATATTCACGAATTCTTATATTTCTTGTATATATTGAGAATTCTAATCAATAACACATCTTATCACTTATCAACACAAATAGAACTGTTAGTTTTTTGTTTTTTTTCCTTTAGGGGTTAAAGTAAATAGTGGTTATCGCACATGTTGTAATCAGTAATAAAAAAAAAGGGGGTAAAATTTAGCGCCATTAACTTTAACATCCTAAGGTGTCGTCCATAAATTACGTCACGCTTAGGATGGGGGGGGGAGAGTTAGGCGATTTTGTGACGATTTGTTTCGAGGGGAAAGGGGGTCTCTATTTTGTGACGCAACATTTCTTTTTTTTTTAAGAAGATTTTCTTTTAATTAAAAGAGTATCTGACCAAACCAAAACCCTCAGTTGATGTATCTACAGTTGATTGTAAAATCAACTACGCCTAAATCTTACTTAGTCGATGTGTACACTCAGCTAACGGAGTAGTTACAGCCTGTTAACGACTGTTACGTTTCAAAGAAGCTCAGTCTGAGCTTCTTTGAGTTTAATAATTAGTAATTTTCAGTCTGTTTAATAGTTTTTTTTCACCTCAATAGTTCCGTGTAAAATCTCTGAGCCTCAGAGAATTATAGACGATATTTAAAATCATTTTGTATTTTGTAAAATTTTGCACCCCTTCCCATCCTCCCTAAAAAAACTAAAAAATTTTAGGGGGGTACGAATTGTTGCATAATATTGGTGGGGGGGGGGGTAAATAAAAGTGTTACGGATGCGTTACGAGGAGGGAGGGGTCAAAAACTGCGTGACGTAATTTATGGACAACCCCTAACTCAAAATATTAATTGGTTTTACAAGGTTGTTTTTTTTAGACTATTTTCTTCTCTGCTTTTCCGTTTTTATTTTTTTACTAATTTTTTGTAAACTATTGTAGTTATTATGTGTATTAATTTTATTAATCTATTTTTTCAGACAACTGAATTAGAGCTGGAGTTGTTTTTTTCTGATTACGGATTAGTTAAAGATGTGCGAATTGTAACAGACCGAGTTACTGGTGAATGTAAAGGGTATTTACCGCTTTGTTATAGTTTTTATTTTAATTTTAAAGTATCGTGGGCCGAGACATAAAAGTGTTAGTATTGGACTTATTGCGCATTATAGTTTTTTTTTTTAGTTACTCAAATCAAGAACAAAAGAGTTTTTTTTTGATTTCCTTTATACATTTGAAATATTGTTTATTGTATTTTGGATTAATAGAATTTTAATAATTTTTGCGCGTATTATAAAAATACACATCTAATGTAAAACGATACAATTTATCTAGTTAACCGAGTAAATACAGATAGTTTTTTAGATGTCTTAAAGATGTATAAATGTCGTTCTTTATTTTATCATTTATTTTCATAAGTAAAATAAAGAGTACAATTTTATAGTCAAATGAAAATACTTTACCACATATTCTAGGACATTCAGATTCTGGTGGGAGGATGCATACCCCTCCCCTTTCATCCTCTATTGGACCGTCACTTATATATTGTGCTCACTTATAATTTCCAGCCTAACATTAGAAAGTAAAAAAAATAACTTCAAATATGTGAACGGTTAAGCGCCAAACTAGCCTATGTAACAAAGCTAAAAAAAAAAAAATAGTTTAAATTTAAAAAATTGAGCAGCCGTGGCGAAGTGGTAGCGCCTCGGAAACAAAAAAATCCATAGTTCAGACCCCACCTCTGTGCAAGTTTTGCGACATCGGTTAGGAAGGAGGCGTGAGATTCCAACTATCCGCGGTGCTCTGTGACAAGACCGTAAGGATTTCTTGGGGCACCTATATAAAATTTAAAAAGAAAAAAAAAAATAATTCACTTAATTTTTTTTTTTTTTAGTGTAAACAATTTTTTTTTTTTTTTTTTTTTATCATTGCAAATTTTGCACATTTAATTATTATTTATTAGTTAATTAGGTGATCCAAGAAGTTCCAACGGTCGTATTACAGAGTACCTCGGAACAGTATTTAACCAGAAAGTTTACACTTCCTTCCTAACAAATGATGCATTTATGGCCCAAGCCGGCTATACACCACACTACCTCCAATTAATTTGATTCTAGCAAATAGTCTCTCTGAAAAACCTCTTTATCCTCACTCCACCCCACCCCTCCTTCCTCCAACAAAAAAAGGAAGAAAATTTTTATTATAAAATATATTTAAGGGTAACAGGTTGTTTTTTTAACTGACTGCATGTTCTTTTTATTTAAGTTTGCATTTTCTTTTCTATTAAGTGAGCATTTTTTAAATTAGTCAATGTATGTATTTATGTGATGGATTTTTTTCCTGGTACTTTTAAGTTGACATCATATAATATCCGACAATAATTCACTTTTTGTTTTAAATGTTATAGATTTGCTTGGCCATTATTAATGTGTTTTAAAAAAATAAAACCACTATTTAAATAACTTTTATTGTTGAAATTTATAATCATTTAAGTTATGGATTTGTTACATTTGATGAAAATGAAGATATAAACGAGCTTGTTGTTAAGAAATCCATCAATATGAAAGGGAAAAAGCTTCGGGTTAGAAAAGCGATTCGACGCAACGGTTCCCAATTTAACAGTTGTGGTAATTCAAGTGAATGTTCTCCAAGTAAGTTATTTATTTTTAGTTATTAAAAAATAATAAAATAATTTTCTTAAATTGATGAAAGAATAAAAAAATTTAAATACATCAATATAAGTTCTTAAATTTGATTAACTATAACTAAGTTATAAAAAACTATTTAGTGTCACCGCAAAAAAGTGTGTTACACTGTTAAGGGGTTAAACAGTTATTTTGTAAACAATGAAGGAATTCAGTATAACGGCATAATTTTTTTTTTCGTTTTATTCTAGGTGGTGGCAACTCTCCGCTTTCTAAAGGTTTTGATGAAAACGATCATCAATTTTTGTTAATTCCTCAACAATCCAGTACTCCTTCTCAGTTTCCTATTTTGTCATCACATGTAAGTTAGAGAAATACTTTAAACTTTTCGAATTGAATATACTTTTTAATTAAGGTTTTATTTTTGTTGTTTTTTTCAGATGATGTATCCTACAAGTTCTCATATATATACTTCAGCGGGTCCTATGACAGTAACGCCTCGCATTGTACCGTCGCCTCATTTAATTGCTGGAACGCAGCCATACCATACTCCTGTTATGTATCCTGTGTACTACTTTCCTTGTGCCAATCAGCAAATGCAAATGAACTGTTCAATGATTCAACAGGTATTATCTGCAGTAGCTTTATCTTTGTTGACTAATAATATACTTACTTTTTATGAATGAAAGTCAATTATAAAATTTGAAAATTTATTCTAATTTTTAGATGACAATTTAGATTAATTTAAGAATTAAAGAGGATCCATAAAAGGAAGAAGTTTTATTGCGATTTAATTTAGCTGACATAATCAGCAGAATTTTAGCTACAAAATGCGATTTTTTTTTACTCAGTTAATGTTTTGAAGAATCTAGACGTGAAATTAATGTACTTTTAAATTATATCCATTGACTGCCATTATCAGCACTACCTTGCCATTGGCTGCATTATTTATACATTTTTAAATTTTTTGTAGCTATAAATTTTATTTCTTTGTTTTACGACAAAAAAATATACATTTTTTTTATTTACAGAGTTTATATCCATATAGAAAATTTATATATACATATACGTTGTTATAGTATTTAAACGGTTTTGACTAAAATATTTTGAAAGGCGATTTTTTATTTTTCAGAAAATTTTCATTAAACATAGTTTGACTTGTCGTTTTTATTGTTGTCCCGAATTTTTTTTTTTTTTTTATAACTCAGATAATTTTCATCTGTATATCCATTTAAACTATTTGATGTGCTTTTGCAGATAATTATTAACTATGTTTAGTTCAGATTTAGTTATCTTAGTTACGGTTTGTTATCACAAATTTACGTTTTTAATTTAAAATAAACTTTATGTGCCCTTATGTCTCGATTATTGCTGAAAAAAAAAAAAATGCCTTTTTAACGACGTACTGTGAAACTCTAAATTAGACTTTTTAGACCTAAAAACTTCATTTCTTCATTGAATAGTAATGCAGGAGTTGTACCAGAACTAGTTTTGGCAAGTTTAAAAGATATGGGCAACTGTTGCTCATTTAATGGTATTTAGTTAAGCAAACTCTTTAAAAAAGTGCCATAAAATGAAAATCTTTAGTTAAAAGATGTCAATCTTGGGATATATATATATATATTTTTTAAATTGTCTAAATAGCTCACAAATATTGACTAAGAAAAATAAAAGTTTAATTGATGACTATCAAAATAAACCTGTCAAATAAGCTGATATCTCTTCATTTATTAGTCTGGAATACTTTTTTAATGGCTTCTAAATTTATTTCTTACTTATATGTTCTCGGTTGATGATTATCAGAAAGGGACTGTGAAGTTATTTTTGTTTCGGATTTTTAATCAGTGGCGGAACTTCAAATTTGGTTCCATCCCCCCCCCTCCCCATCCTCCTCCTCGTAAAATATTTTTTAGATCTCCACCACAAAGAGGAAAAAAATTTTTTATCTAAATATGTTTATTGAAAAAACTGTTGCTCAACAGAAATCAAATAAATATATTACAGTATATCTAAAATTGTAAATCTTTCCTCCTTGATTTTAGATTCGCAAAATCTGTAATCACATCGTTGATTGCCATAGTTTTGGCTGTTTTTGCTTCAATTTCTATTATAGAAAAGTTATGAAAACGTTCTTTGCCTTCAACAAATATAGGCCCCCTACAGCTCTGCCCCCTCCTCCCCTCCGCATTGCGGGGTTTTGCTGTGTGGTAATTCCACCACTGGCTTTAATGGACCTAGAGCTACCTTTATGATTTGCCTAACATCCATTATTTAGTTTTACAAATTCAATACAATTGTATTAAGAAGTATCTTTTATGCTTTTATAATGTACAACCGTTGCACTTTCCATTACTGGTTAAAGTTAGCAACAAAACTATTTAGCAAGCTGCGTTATCTCTTCTGCCATGATCCATCAAACAGAAACTGTAGAACCATTATTTCTTAATTTTTCTGCTCTCTTATTCACGCTGCTTTAGTTGTAGATGCTTTATAAACACTTGCATTTATATCATGCAAAAAATTTGTAACTTTTGTAAAAAAAAACATTCATAATATGGTAAGCTTTTAAAGAAATTAGGGGTGGCATATTTAACTATGAAGTAAATAATTTAATTGCTATATTATCTTTGCTGGTTTCTCTAAATTTATCATCTTTTTAATACTGATAGCAAAATCTTTTTGTCACAATGATATACCATATCATTGTGACATCACATACCAGAGATACTTTCAATCCAATACTACTTTAAATTATTAGATAACAAGGTTTTTTTTGTTTTATTTGGTCTATTTACCAGTTCCCGGTGCATTTTTTCCTTTTAGTCCGTATGCCGTTGTAGCGTTTTTAAATTACTGCGTTAAAATTTTACTGCGCGGAAGTTTTCAATCCTTTGCGGTAAAATAATTATACTGCTCGATGCAACTAAGGCATAAAACAAACAAACTCGTAAAAAATAAAAGCCGATAATTTAAAACAAATCCGATTGGTTTTTAGTGGGAAACCAAAAAACTTTTTATTTATTTGTATTTAATTTATGCAAACAAAGAATTGAAAGTAATTTGTTTATAAAGTTTACCGGCCTCTGTTTTTTAATTGTTTACGCAATAAATAATTATTTCAAGATGGCCGAATAAGTCTCGAGTATTTCAAAAAAAAATACTAAATACCGAAAACAGTTTTTTAAATGGGGCTAAAAGTTATGATTATTTATACAGAAACGACTTCGGTAGAAAAATTAACACTACCATAAGTTATCTAAATCTAACGTGACATTATTGTTAAACGGGGCCATCCATAAAGAACGTCATCCAAATAGGGGGGAGGGAGGGGGTCGAGTTAAAAAGGACAAAAAAAGACAAGGGGAGGGGGGGAGGTTGTCAGAAAAGGACGTCACTTTATAGGTTTTTTATTTTAGTTTAATTAACTGGAAAACTACGTAAACATGTGTTTTTAAGAAGATAATGTATGAGAATATTTTTAAAGGTGTAGCAGCAGATTCAAACATCATTGCGAGATGAAATAAATTTTTTTGGAGTTAAATATAGGAGGGGGGGGTTCAGGATTTTATGACGTTCTTTTCAAGGGGGGTATAGAGAAAAAGGTCAACCGGTGACAAAGGGGGGGGGAGGGGTCAAAAATTGGCTAAAAAATGTTGGGGCCATCCTTTATGGATGGCCCCAACATACTCATTTAGGTGTGGTATTGAAAATAGTAACTTCAATTTTCATAAAAAAATAGTTTTTCATGGATAATTTTCTAAATAATATCTAAATAATATCTGTCAAGTTACATTCATTGAAAACAAACACCAATACGTGCTTTTATGAAAAAATTAAATTCATAGACCTATTTATAGCCAAGCCCCAAGGTACTTTATGTTAAAAACTGCATCTTTTCTAAATAAAACTATGCTTGACGATTTGTTATAGCCGCATTACTTTGACCAGATTATAATAGCCAGATTATAAAATAATCTTTCGATACATACCAAATATGTCATATATTGTAATTGAAAAAACTTATATTTTTTTCAATTACAATATACGACATATTATATTTTACAATATATGTAAGTTATATACAATATATAACTTACATGTATTGTAATTGAAAAAGCTTATATTTTTGTTCGGAAAAACGTGTACCGGGCCTTAGTTGCATTGAGTGAGGCAGTAATATTTTAACATTAAAATTTTACTTTACTCGTTATAATTTTACTGGCTTTTTAGTTTACAATTTATATAGCTTATTTTGTCAAGATGTACAAAAATATTAACTTTAATGATGTCAGGAAATATTTAAATGACAATGCTTTTCCTGAAGATGTGAATGAAAAAGGAAAAAAAGCAAATTTTTAACGGCAGTGTAAAAACTTTGTTATTGTTGACAATAAGTTGATGTATTGCAAAGGTATTTCTGAGAAAACTTGTTTTTATAAAAGAAGTTTTTATTTAATTTAAAAGGTTTTACTTAAATAAAATAAAGTAATTAAACAATATTTTGTGTTGTGCATTATTTTGAATTAACACAACATTTTTCAAAAATTCGAAAATTTATAGCTTTAAAACAACTCAAAATAATGTAAAAATTTCATACAAATAATTTTCTTTATTGTGGTAATAGATCGGGAAAAACAATTAAACATTGTTAAAGAAGTCCACGAGGGTCTTGGTATTTCTGAGAAAGCTGTTGCATTAGCTAGCCACTTAGGAATTAATGCTGTGAGAATGCAAATTTCTTCAAGATTTTTTTGGCATTCAATTGTGGAGGGTATCACCAAACATGATCAATGTGAACGATGCCAAAAAAAACTTACAAAAAAAGTGTCTCCTGCGTTAAAGTAGAACAACAAGTTATGTAACAAGTTGTTGTAGATTTAGTTAAATTACCTGAATCAAATGGATTCAATTATGTAATTGTTCTTATAGATTATTTTTCTAAGTGGACTGGAGCTGAATCTCTTATCGACAAAACAGCGGTATCAGTAGCAGCCTTCTTTATAGAATTATTTGCAGACATGGTTGTTTTCAAATACAAATTATTGACCAAGGTCGTGAATTTGTAAATTTAGTATCCATTGCACTACATGATATGACAGGCGTTCAGCAACGTGTAACCTCTGCTTACCATCCACAAGCCAATGGTCTTGTGGAGAGACAGAACCAGACAATTAAGAAAGCAATTGTTACGGTATTAAATGAAAATGTTAAAAGTTGGGCCTCAGTTTTTGATGGAATCCTTTTTGCTTTATGTGTTAAAATGCACAATTCAATGGGGTATTCACCATTTTATCTTATGTATAACCGACAACTCTGTCTTCCAATTGATGTAAAGTACACAGATGTACTTAATGGGGACAACTGCAACCCTGTATACGATAAAGAAGTTTTACAAAAAGCTTTACAAATGAAAAGAGGACTTGAAAAAAAAGCCATGACCAATATTGTTTGTGCACAAAAGAAGCAAAAAGTTTACTGATAGAAAGCATGCAACACCATCAAATTGTTTTGTGGGTCAAAAAGTACTATTGAGAAATTTAAAAAGAGAAAATAGAAAAGGTGGAAAAATGACTTTCTCGTGACATGGTCCATATGAGATACTTGATATTTTTTCAAACTCAACATGTTTATTAATAAACATTAAAGGGAACAACACAACAAAGAAGAAGTACTCTCTGTTAAACCATTGGTTGAAGAGAAAAGTAATTCGAAATTGCATAGTTTAACTTCTAAGTGCAACAATCAGGATAAAAGTCAATGTAATTCCAAATTAATGAAACATCCCACCAAAAAAATTCTCCAAAAAATAGATGAAGAACAAGGACTTAAAATACTTATAATGCCAGATCATTTTGATGGAGAAAAAAATGATGTACCTTCAAAAATACCTGTTTGCAAAGGAAGTTTGAACGGTTGAAGACCGTAAAATTTTACGCGCAGTAAAATTTTAACGCAGTAATTTAAAAACGCTACACCGTCATAGAATGTGTTGATGAATTCTGAGTTCAGATAAAATAAATGTAGCCAAGAATTTTACTAAAGATCCTTCAACTATTTTGTCTGCTAACTTCAAGTAATCTTGTTACGTCAGTTTTTTTGGTTAAAAGCCGCGGAGCTGTGGGGTAAGAGTCCGTGCGGGTGAAAAGTAAGA